AGTCCATCCCATCCTTAGCTCAAGACCTACAGCAAACAACATGGGGGGTTGTTTTCCTCAGTTCTCTACAGAGAAGACTGCTAACTCATCTTTGGGTGGTACTGGAATTTTGCACCTGGAAAAAGTGACAAATACTGTTTTTCTGTCTGTAAGATTTCTGATATTCAGCTGATGCTGATTACAAATAGACATGAGCCCTTTTGATACAGACTGAAGGTAGTAGTCAAATTGATGATCTAGTCCAAAAGAAGCTGTTTGGTTTGTCTCTCAGACTGATTGCTACTTGAGTTAAATATGTTTATGATGGAAATACTAAGGTATCAAGTATACTGTAAGGTTTAAAATAAGTATTTTTTGTCTTTGGATATAATAAATTTTTCTTAAATATTAATCTTCTGGAAAAATAACTCTTTGAGAACCTATGAACATGATTTTACTGTTGGATATTCTTGAGACAGAAGCAATGGTCCAAACTTGCATGTTTTATAAAAGTTGCAGAATGTTTCTTCAAACTTTGTACAAGAAATTTTGCATTTGCTAATTCCAAAACTTACAAAAACATTTGCTACATATTGATCTGAAAAGTTTAGCTTTTTCTTCTCAAACGTTAAGTGAAAAGTGCCCATCTTAACATAAGCTCTCAGCAGTATCACACCAGCAAAATTTCTTGGGGAAGATAAGAGAGAAGGAAGACTGTATGTTCAAATGGCTTGTTCTGAATACCGAAATTTGCAGCCCCAGACACTGGTGCAACTGTCATGGAGGGCCTGGGATATCATCTGGCTTTTACTGCATCCATGTATTATAGCTGAAATAACTCATCCATGCACAGACATCATCTAGCAGAGCTGTAAACAAAATGTATGTCCTAAGTATCCCTGAACTCAGCAATATGATCTCTGCTCCCCCACCCACTCCCCAAAGTGCTTCATATTCCCCCCCCCATGAATGTATGCATCCTGTAAGCCAACATCAGGAGAACTTGTTTGATTTCTATCACAGGATAGTGAATCTACAGGAAAAACTACAAGTAAACAGACTGTGCTGTCTCCATGTGCATTTTCTAACAAGTGCTGCTCTTCTGAAACCACTTCTTTGTATATCTCATGGACATTTTTGTGGCTTTTCATGAAGAACTGACATTTCTGACATGTTTATGCAGATCACAGGAATATTTTGTCCTAGATTTTTCTTCATATTTGAGGTGAGAAAAGGAGAGCAGTGGTTTTAGGATAATCCTGGGGCCAGAGTTAGCAATGGGTTTAGGATAATCCTGAGGCCAGAGTTACTGTTGGTGTAAAAGCAGGCATTACTGAAAGTCACTTTGACAAATACAAAACATAGCAAAATGATTGAAAGATGATTCTCCCACATTCACTACCCCCAACCTCTTTTGGTTTTTTCCCGTGGGGAACCGGGGACTAAGAGAAACCCCAGACTGATTTAAAGGAATTAAGTTCTTTAAGGGAATTGTACTGCTGAACTCTAAGGGCATGCCAGCAAGTGGGATGGAGGGGTTAGGTTTTCCTGGCAGGCCTGGGCTTTGGGGGAGGTATCATGGCTAAGGCAGCCAGGATGACATCCTCTGCTTTTGGATTCTGTCCTGAGTGCTCCCTAGGCTGTGCTGTGCCAGGAAGTCCATGAGGAAGCAGGATGTTCTTTGGCTGTTGGGCTGCAAGCAGCCATACGTGTCCCTGCTAGCAGAGGCAGGGGCTGCAGGCAGGGGGTACTTTTGGCCTATGGTCAGGAGATCAAAAGGGGGATGGATCCTGAGAAAACAACTGTTTAGGGTGTTGGGCCATATTGTAAATGCTGGTTTTGTGGTTTAGCCTACTCTGTATCAGGGAGTCTTGAAAATACCTACGCTTTTAGATCTATTAAAGTAATGACTACTACAAGCCATACATAGTAGTTACTCTAAGATAGTTGACATCAGCTGTGATCAGAAACTGCTTTCTTGTTTCTTTGTGCTTTTCTCTTTTTAAAAACAATCTACACACACTCAAAAAATTTAAAAATGGCTTTAAATTCCCAGTGTGAGAATAGAAGCCTGATGTAGGGGAGGATTTCGTTTTCTGAAATGTCTTGAAACAAACCTGTCCCTGTGAATATAAGGCAGGAAAATCCACAAATAGAAATTACTTAAAACTACACAATACTGTTTTTTTCTTACTGTTATTTACTCACAGAGTGTACAACACACACATCATTGCTGTGCCTACCAAAGGCATATTATGGGAGGAGGGCAGGAAGAGGAGGTTTCTGTCATTAATTGACTTCCTACAGTATTATTTTGAGACTGTATTGATACAAGTCAGATGTGATTAAAAACCTCCATTTTAAATAATCCCAGGGTTACTTTAGAGGAAGTTTTGGCACTTCTATTTTTAGTGATTTCAGTAGAAATCACGGTAATATTTTTGTTAAAGCTGCCTCTTGTGTGTGGAATTTGCAAGTACCAAGCTACTTTTGGTATATGCTGTTCTTATAAACTGGTCCCATTCTCCAGAGTGCTGAATACTCTTGGTTTTCAGGTACTGTTTCTTTCCTTTGGTCTTGTGTGATTCTTCTTTATTAATTATAAATCATCTTTCGGGTTGGGATGAATTTCAGTATCACTGAGTATGCACACAAAGACTTCATGATCTAACTGAAGTATGGTCCAGTTGTAGCTAAGCAGAGCCCCAAGAGGAGGAAAACTGCAGCGTTTGCAGCTGTATTAATGTCTGGTAGATTTACCAAGATGCGCTGGTTCCAACACAGATTGACCAAATCTGCCTGGGTCTGGAGCACCGACTGACCAGGTTTTTATTTAAAAGTTAAATAACAACAAAACCACGACAGCTTTGAGCTTCATAGTGTATGTTCTCCAAGAACATCCTCCAAAATTGTGTCTGACTGGGGGATTTGGGTGTGCGTTTAGAGAGGCTCCAACAGCAGTTACTTTTAGCCCACAAACACGTCTTTTCGCTGTACCTAAAAAACAGCGATTCGTGCAACTTCAGAGGCTCTTCTGTCCCTAAATGTCACCAAAGAGAGCAGCTGCACGTGACGTGATTTAGTACTGAACACATTTGTTACACTCATTTCTATCAATTTATTTTGTATATAGAGCTTTTTATACACATTTTTCTTAATTATGTAACTGTCATGAAACGTCATGAAGCTACAAGTAGCTTGTTTTAATGCGGATTAAAACTGGTGTTTGGCCATTTGTTTTCTGAAGCCATTACTTGAATTTGTTTCCATAAGGTAGTGAAGTCTGATAATGTTTACAGGATCGCTTTCTTTGGTTTTGGGAGCTTTCCCATCTTTCTTCCTATCCCCTGTCCTAAGAAACAGAGAGCTCATGCTCAGCAGGCAAGCAGATGTGTCAGAAATGAAGAATTTGTATTACTTTGTCACCAAAGCATTGGGAGTGACATGCTGATTCCCTCCTGTTTACACTGCTTAGCTGACAACTTACAGACACTTAGCATGATCCTCTGTGATTTCTCCTGTCCCTTATCCTGTTATCAGCTTTATTGTGGGAAACTTAAATCTTCCTGAATGATGATTTACAATCATGAAGCTATCCCAGAGAGAGGCAGCATTCCTGCTGTCAAGTCTGTTCCATTTTTAATTTAGATGAATGAAACATCCCTGGGTTATCTCTGCAGTTCCTTTTGTATTTGCCAGCAAGGGTCATCAACATTTGCACTAATCACAATGTCCCAGCTGTTCTACTTCCACAAAGTTATTTTTAGTTGTGCTGCCTAAACTTGGAATGAGCTGTATTTAAGTTTGGGACGATGTGTAAAAGATACCTGTAATAATGATGCACTTGCATTTTTTTGTATGTTACAGATAGGACTCATCCTATGCACAGAGAAAATGTTGCCATTTATAGTTTAATACTTGAAGTAACTTTTTGAAACGGGCTTTTATAAATGAATTAAATATAAAATCACATTGCTTTGCCTGGAAGTTCCTTCATGTTTTAATTGTATTTGCAATTTCCCCATATGTATACTTTTCCATGAAGTTCTCTTAAGCCATTTATAACCAATGAAAGTGCATTCAAGATTTTGTACATCAGTGTTCAGACCTGTTCATACTTCTCTGAAGTATAATTCATGTTTAATAAAAAAGTACCATTTTAAGCCTCTTTTCCAAAGTGAAATGGACTTGACACTTGAATTCATCAGTGAATGCAACATCAACTTAATAAAAGTATGTGAAAGAATCTGAAAGTGCTCGGCTGTAGCATCTGTGTTATTAGATCACCAAGAAAAACTGCCTGCCTGGGAAACACTGCACCATTGCTCTAGTTTTTACACTCCAGCTGCAACAAACCTCAGATTACACTCACTCTTGACACATCTTCCAGGTCACTGGGTCTTGTGGGGAAATAAAAAGCCTGACTTGTGGCTAAATCTTATTCCTCCAGGATACTAAGCCTGACTTAGAAGTCAACTGCTCAAACAGGAATCAGCCATGTTCCTTTTAGATCAGGAACAATCTGTGTAAGAGAGCTGTAGTACCCAAGTTGACACTGACATGACAATGACACTGGCAGTTAAAATCAACAATTCTTTCCAGAAAGTTTTTTTTTTTTTTAATGGAACATTTTATAACATTCCATGAATTCCAGCCTCATCTTCCATCTCTGCAGTTCTAGTTCCCCTTGGTCCTTGCATGCCTGATGGCAAGTGTCCTAGTCCTTCTCAAGCACCTGGTGTACACAGAGCAATCCCTGAGGAAGGGTGACCAGCCCAAGCCACGTGGCCAGTAGCGCCAGCTGAGCCCTTTCAACAGAGCAGGAGTGTTCTCCAGGCTTTCAGAAGGCAATCACCGAAGCTATCTAGGTTATAGACAGCTGAAGGTAAACCAGGTTATCCATATATCGCCACCACTGCACCTGGTAACTTGCTGTTTAAGCCCTGAAGAATAGAGGGTGGGCAGATGGTAGAGAGGCAAAGAACTTCTCTAACAAGGCAATAATAATAACACATACACTGTTCCAGGGGACTACTTTTAATGTAGTATTTTGTACACCACAGCAACATCTTATTTGTCACCCACCCTAATTACAGCGAAATACCATAACAGGTATGAGAGCAGACCCCAGGGTAGTGCACGACATGTGACAAATATAAATATGCTGTATTATTCAACATGTCCACTTCTTTGTCACATTTAAGTGGTTTAAATGATCACTGATGTATCTGTGCTCAGGAAACTTGGCTTGTTTCAGGCTTTTGAAAGCTTCCCACTTGGCACGTCTCTCTTCCGAGTTGTGTTTGTATTCCTGTTCCTGTGTCAGGTAAGGCTGGCTGAGCCAATATTCATTCTCTGCTTCAATTTCCAACCTTCGGACCATTGCTTGCTTCATCGAAATGGTAACCTGTCTTGGTCGCCTGTACTTCCCAATCCATTGTTTTCCAGGAATTCCCTTCCGCAGTAATACTGTTGTTAAAAACATTTTGCCTTAAAACATAAATATAAAATACTTATTACTTAGGGACAAAAATAAAACTTTGACAAGAAAGATTAAAAGCTCTGCACTCACTCCACTGCCTTTTAGCTGGCTGGTTTGAAGGCTCAGGCTCAGATCCAGGTACTCACAAACCATCACACACAGCAGGGCCAGACACACTGGAAACTTAAGAATCAGAAAAGGGGAATTGAAACCTATGTAACTTAATTTATTCAGTTATCCTTACACTGCAATTAAAGCATATCCTCCATAAATTATTTAAGAAAAACCCAGTCACAGATACTCAAGAATGACGGGTTCACTTTGCTCATGCCTTCTACAAATAGCTAGATGTGTTGTCAAAACAGAGTATTTCCAGCTCTGTCTTCTCGATCCAAATCTGGCCTTTCCTCAGCATGAGGTTTTGGACTACAGTCTCTCCGTAAGCTTATTAGTATGTAATTACCTAGTCTTGTATCCTGACCGAGGAAATCTGGTTGGCAGAGAGAAGCAATATCCTGAATTAGACCAAGTGGCGTAAGCGGAAAGCACCAACAGGCCCTGACACAACACGCTGGGTGTAAGGGCCGGGAAAGGCCGAATGACGTCTAAACTTTACACAAATGCTCCTCCTTAACCTGTTCATTAGTCCCGCACCCGCTAATGCCCAGGTTTAGCATTATACGGGATTTCATCAGCTTTAGAGAATCACAGAATACGCGGCGCTGGAGGGGACCCACAAGGATCATCGAGTCCGCCTGGCCCTGCACACGACATTCCCCGGAACCACACCACGTGCCTGGGAGAGCTGTCCAAACCCTTCACGAACTCTGCCAGCCGTGACCAAGGAGTCACCCAAGCACTTCCAGCACTGCACAAACCAGCACTGTGGCTAACAGAAGCCAACCCACCCCGTTCCCACGGTGCAGCTGCACGCCGGCGTCCCACTCCCTGGCCCGGTTGAGAAGCGAAGCCGCGGGGATGCGCGGGAGCACCGCTGCCCCAGTCCCCAGTTCCGCTCCCGGCCTCACTCACCGGGAAGCTCCGGCGGCGGCTGCGGCCCCCGCGGAGGAGCCAAGATGGCGGGGAGCGCGGCTCTCGCGAGAGGCGGCGGCGGGCGGGGCCCGGCCGCGCCAATGGGGCTCGCGCGGGCGGCAGTTTGAAGCCCCTCAGCGGCGCGCGGCCCGGCCCGGTTTCGCTGAGGGCCGCCCCGGCCCCGGCCCCGCTCCGCTCCGCTCCGCTTCGCTTCCCCCGCTCGGAGCCATGGACGTGACCGGGGTCTTCTTCGGCAAGCTGCGGGAGCTGGCTCTCACAGTGGAGAAGGAGGTGAAGCAGCTGGAGCGGGCCATGCGCCGGGAGGACGCGGGTAAGAGCAGCCTGGTGGCTGGGCCTGGTGGCTTCGCAGCTGTTCCTCGGGGCTCCGCGCTCCATTTGCGTTCCCGCCTGCCGGTGTCCCCTGTGCTCCTCTGGGAGCGCCTTTGGTGGGCCCGGAGGCCAGCCTGGGAATTGCTCGGCTGGGAATAGTTTGGGGCCCTCCTCGCCTCGTTGTCTCTCTGAGCTCCGTTGTGAGTGTGTGGCTGAGTTTTTTATCACGGAGAAAAACAGGATGACTGGGATGAAATAAGAAGCGCGTTCTTGCTTCTTCTTTTCGTGGATCGATATAGGAAAACATTTGCAGGGCATGTTCCCTCTCTGGATAGCTCAGGCTTCTAATTGTGTTTATCTCTGTGCTATGTCTTGTTATGTAGCCCTACGGTGCCCTCTTTTAGACTATTTTGGTTTCCAGTGAAAAAAGTAATGACTGCTGCGTTGTGTAAGTGAGCAATGCAAATACGATGGAAGAATTCCATTTTCTGCTGAGATTTGTTTTTCACTGGTCTCTATATCACTTTTTTTCTGATTTCATCCAAGATCTTTAGGGATAAGATTTTAACACAAATAATTCTTGACAGCCCAGGAACCTACTTGTTTTATCAATATCTGTCATATACAGTATTAGCTGCAACGTTAAAGTGAAAGTGTGGAAGGGGCTAACAGCGGGCCTGTTAGCTAAAGGAGCGAGAAGAAGCTGAGAAGAAAGAAGAAGCTGATAAGGTGCTCTCTCCAAGGCTGTAACCAAGGAGACCAAGAGAACTGAGGAACTGAAGAAGGATAAGAAGAGAACTTCACAGCCGCACAAAGTATTTTTAGAAAGTTAGTTAAGTCACTGTAACTTTTCACCAATGGTGTTATGTTGATTTATTGTGTCCAATAGTTAGGGTAGAAGAAGCATAAACAATTAGAAAGTGTATAAAAGGTCAGCCATGTTCGACAATAAAGAGTTGCCATCTGAGACTGCTTGTGGTCTCTGCTTTGTGTCGTGACCGCCTCGACAGCAACATGAAAGTCTGGGCAGTTTCTCTGTGGAGTTTAACTCGCTGTACAAAGAGCGGTTTTTTGCTGTGTGAAGTACCTGACAGGAACTAGTTCTCTTTGGTTTTGTCTGTATTGACTCTCTAGGGTATGAATCCAACCTCTCTAATATTATAGAAGCACAGAACGGTTTGAGTTGGAATAGACCTTAAAGATCACCTAGTTCCAACCCCCTGCCATGGGCAGGGACACCTTCCACTAGACAAAGTTGCTCAGAGCCCCATCCAGCCTGACCTTGGACACTTCCAGGGATGGGACATCCACAGCTTCCCTGGGCAACCTGTTCCAGTGCCTCATCATTCTCACAGCAAAGAACTTCCTCCTAATATCTAATCTAAATCTTCTGTCTCTTTGTTTGAATCCATTCCCCCTTGTCCTGTCATTACGTGCCTTTGTAAAAAAAGTCCTTCTCCATCTTTCCTGTGAGCTCCCTTCAGGTACTGGAAGGCTGCAATTAGTTCATCCTGAAGAAGCCTCTCTTCCAGGCTGAACAATCCCAATTCTCTCAGCCTTTCCTCACAGGAGAGGAGCTCCATCCCTCTAAACAACCTAGTGTCCCTCCTCTGTACTCATTCCAGCAGGTCCCTGTCCTCCCTGTGCTGGGACCCCAGAGCTGAAGCAGCCCTGCAGGTGGGGTCTGAGCAGAGCAGAGGGGCAGAATCCCCTCCCTGGCCCTGCTGCCCACCGCTGGGTGCAGCCCAGGACACGTTTGGCTCTCTGGGATGTGAGAGCACACTGACAGCTCATGGCCAGCCTTTCATCTGCTAATACAGGCAATTGCCATGTAGAATGTTACTTTCATGCTAAAACACTAAGACGCCTCTTTTATTTTCTAAACTCTTTTATGTGGACATTCATCTTGAAGACTATGAAGATGAATCTCCGCTCGCAGTCTTGAATGACCTCCATGGCGAAATCAAGGCTCAGAAGGTAACTTCTTAACTTGCTTCCTTCTTGAAAAATCACATGTGTGTGCATGTTCCATACACTTATGGTTCTGTTTTGGTCGTTAAGCCACAATTCAACTTTGTTAGTCAGTAATTATAACCCTTATTTTTACTCACTCACATCTAAGTCCTCATAATGGCCATGGATATTGGGGTAATGCCCTAAAACTTGTGGGTGACCCAAAGCAGGTTTAGCAATGTTTGTTAGTTTGCAGTCACTTCTGTCACTCGGGTAAGCAGGGAACAAAGGGTACAAGGAAGTTGGAGCGGTGCCAAGGTATGAGGAGAATGATTCAGGAACAGCAGCTCCCAAGAAAAGAGAAAAGCTTGCTTGCTTTCCATGACCAGCCTTTAGGATAACATCAGTCTTCACAGAAGTTTCAGTACCTTCAGCCATTCAGTTAAACTTGTGAAAAATGTTGTCTATTTCTTATACAGAAGTAGAAAAAATGGGTTATAGAAATGAGCAGTATAGAAATAATTGAGTGATATAAAAGTGAAGTTTACCTTTTGCTCTGCACTTATTCTTTGTACACATGGAGTAAGAGTCCAAACTAATTGCTGTTACCTTATATTTTTCTGGAGTAAAATATAATATAATATTATATAATTATATAAGCATATAATTTCCTTGGCTTATCGTGTTGTGAACTGTCATTACAGTTACTTTTATAAGTTTCCATAACTTGGGCTCCATATATTCCTGGTATTCCATAGGTATATATACCTGATGGTTTGCAGGTATAGAAAAGACCTACATTTGATGCTTATCTTCATCTGAATTGCAATTGAATACTTACTCCCAAAATGCTTCATGTGTAAACACCTACTGTGTGATGATTTGAAAACCAGTATTTCTATGTTCCTCTCTCTGTTCCCAAAGGAAGATGTCAGTGCCAGTCTTGGTAAGATTTGCTCTGAAAAAAAAGCAGTTCAAGAGTTTATGAAAGCAAGTGAAATCTTGATGCAAAGAAATGCAGCAGATCTTGGAAAAATAGGAGAACTGTTCCAGAAATATGGCTACAAACCAAATGTCAAAGACTCTACAGGTAATGTTTCTTGTCAATACAGTATGTGAAGAAAAGTATCATTTTTATAAAATGTTTCTCTTTAGCTATGTGTATATTTCTATTAATTAGGAGATTTAAGTACACCCATTTTATTTGCTTTATAATAATATCCAGAGAGTAGATTTTGTGGGAATTGGTGCTGTAAGAATAAACCAAAACACAAACACTTGGAATTAGATCTTCTGGCATGCCTTTAGGTTAGTGTGTGTTGGGTTTAGGGTTTTTTCAGTAATAATTATATTGAGAAAATATGTTAGCAAGTTTGTTTTCATAACCCAGAGACTTATGCTGCTTCAGCTACTCATGAATGAGGAACTATTGTAGATGCACCTCAGCTGGTTTGTATTCACATGTGATAGTTTCATCAACTTAAATCACCTCAGAGAAAATCTTAAAATGTCTGTTTCACAGCACAAATTAAACAAGAATGCTTAGGAATTAGGTGGCATGTGACAAGCAGTAGCACCTTGATCACTGGAGGGGAAGGAGGTCCTCAATTCACTCAGAAAATGCGCATAGAACCATCTGAAAAATCCAGCTGTGCCAAATGAGTTAAAGTACTACGCCTGTCAATACTGCACATACTCCTTTGGGTATCAAGGGCCCAGTCAGGCTTCAAAAAGCTTTTGACATGGTCTTAACTTTCTCTGAGCATTATCATAAAACAAAATTATGGTTGTGAACCGTACTGATGTCCAAGTTAAGCTCCTATACCTGTTTTACACAGATAGGGCAGAAGCTCTGATTTTTTTTTAGTATCTTTCTTCCTATACCCTCTTTGCCTTTAAAGAAGTCTCCAAACAGAGCTACAAGGTTAAATTTTTTAAGTTGTACTTTTAAGCTAAGTGTATCTGAAGACATAATACCACTGCACACCAGTGGGTATATTACTTTAAATAGCCTCCTGCCCCCTACCCACCTCACAGAATCAGTTAAGTTGGAAAAGACCTCTGAATCATCAAGTTCAACCTGTGGCTCAACATCACCAAGGCAACCAGACCATAGCACTGAGTGCCATGTCCAGACTTTCCTTAAACACCTCCAGGGATTGTGATTCTACCACCTCCCAGGGAAGTCATTCCAGTGTCTAATTACCCCTTCTGTGAAAAAATTCATACTGATGTTCAACCTGAATCTTCTTTGGTGCAGCTTAAGACTGTCTTCTGGTTCTATCACTTGTTACCTGGGAGAAGAGCCTGACCCCACCTGGCTGCACCCTCCTGTCAGGCAGCTGCAGAGAGTGATGAGGTTCCCCTGAGCCTCCTTTTCTCCAGGCTGAACACCCCCAGCTCCCTCAGCTGCTCCTCACAGCACTTGTGCTCCAGACCCTTCACCATATCATTGCTCTTTACTTACTACATCATGCAGAAATTCATCAACATTTTGGGGTGTTTTGGTTTATCTAACTCCAAAAATGTACAAATTACACATTTACATATTTTTGCAGTGAACTCTTGTTACCAAAAAAGCTGTCTCCTTTCACAAGTTTTTAGTTGCTGCTTCATAACCTTTCCTCAATACTGTTTTTCTGAAGAATGAGCATTTTAGTACTATGTGCAACCTTTGCTCTTCCCCAAAAACCTTTTCATCTCCATGCAGGGAGAAAAATACACTTACGTAAAAAGCCTTGAATTTCACTTTCCCTAGAAATAATATTTACCAATAGAGTGAAACTCAGTAAATGTGTGACTTATAAATATAGCTTAGCCATATGAGCTTTTGATACCTGTTGTAGCTTCAGGTTCAGTACTTTAAAGTGAAAGAAGGAATCTATTTTTACAACAAGAAGTAAAAAAATTTGAATACTGGGGAAGTGTCACAATTTATTTCATAAATTCTTAAAACAAACTTCTGACGTATTTTTTTTCCATTTCTCTTCTTAAAAAGAAGAGGAGGATAAAGCAAACAGTGAATCAGCAATGTCTGTTCAGAAGAACTCTGATGAGGAAAAAGCAAATGATGTACCTCACCCATCTGCCTCTGCAGAGAAGCCACCGTTGCCCAAAGACCCTCTGCGTAACCCCCAGCTCTCCGATTTCGGTCTCTCACAGTACGCGTTCTCCAGGCCTTGGAGCGCGCTGAAAGCGCAGCACGCGGCGGGTGCGAGTCAGCTGAGGGCCAAGAGCGAGACTCCGCTTGGATTGCGAACACCGCGGGCTTTGCCCAAAACACCGAAATGTAAGCTGAAGATGGATGACTACGAGTGTGTAACGCCAAAACTCGAACACTTCGGCATTAGTGAACATACCATGTGTATGAACGAAGATTATACGATGTCACTTATTCATAAAACTTCTCAGACAATCAAAAAGTAAGTTACTGGAGTTCAGATTGTTTCTCTGCTGAATTTTCTGTATTTTCTTCTTGATGTACTAATTTCTTGCTCCTATTGCCCTTCTCTTTGTCTTGAGGTGGGCGATTGTTATCTCTCAGGTGCTGGGTCCTGTGTCATTTAACTCCCTACACATCTTTTCATGTACCCATTGCAGTGCCAGACACTGACATGAAATACATCTGCAGTGCTCCTTGCCTGGACTGCACCATAAGAATCCTCCATACACAATGTACTAGAAATAGTAAAACACAATGCGATCTGTTGTTTTCCTTAACCAAAGGTTTGAGCCTGGCCTTGTCTGCCATAGATATTACACAGCCAGTATAAAGGTTGCAGAAGCTTTATTAACATATAAACAGAAAACAGTTTGTAGAGCATTCATTAAATTTATAGAAACACTGTATTTTCTCTAACATAAGCCCCACCTTACGGTTTATTCCTTTTGCTCCAGTCTTCTCTTGAAAAGACTTCTCTAGATTTTCACTGTTCTAATTATAAAGGAAAATAATTGCAGCAGTGAGGTAATGCACATAGTTAATAGCTCATGTTTTTATAGTTAGTATTTGCAATATGTTCCATTTTAAAAGCTGACAGTACCTAAATATTTGATATTTAGAGAAATTGTTTTGAAAACAAGGATCATATGCATGAAAACCACTTTAAAAATTCTACTGGTTCTATTCATTGTAAAAACTAAAAATCATGTGGTTTCAACTACCTCTAAGACTTCAAAGACAAAACTGACTTGAAAAGTTACTTTTCTATTTAACCCAAAGTTTGAGATGTGTTCATCTAAGTAAAATGTGCTGCCTCATATATTGCTTATACTGTTTATTGGGTGGATTTTTTCAGCTTAGAAATTTTGTAGAGAAGATCTAAATCTGGTTATAATAATTAAGATTACTTTTTAAACATTTAAAAGAAACTTGTTCTCTAAAGATACAGATTTGTGCGTAGGTTAGGTAAGTTTCCACTTTTTGCCTAGTTTTTTTCTTAACTGTATATGCCATTTTTTTCACTAGAAAATCTTGGCTATGAAAAAATAATTTTTAAAAATTCTCTTTCCAGTGTTATGGAATTGATATTAAATAGCTTTCACTTTGAAAATCACTAAATTTTCTTTTAAAATAATTTTGGGATCTCTCCTTTTAAATAGTTGTGTAATTACTAAAATTACTTGAAAGCTCTATAGTATTTGATTAAGATAAACAATTTTATTTCAGTTTTAAAATTCAATTAAAAATCTTTTCCTGTTCACAAGACCCTTATTAGTTTAGAAGCAGAAAAGATTTCCTCTTGTTCTGTATAATTTCATAGTCAACAGGCAGTTCAAAATAAAACCCCTAACACAGAATTGATCATCTGTGGCATCTGTTGTACCCTGGACATCTGGTTTGGGTTTGGTTTTTTCGTAATGCCTTAGACTGAAAGCTCAGTGTATTTGATCATTTGTGGCTGGACTGAACATCTGCATACCACAAATTGCAGTAGAATCACACATGAAAAAATCTGTAAAATATTCATATTTGAGAAAACTAACTTTTTACTTGCATATTCGTAAGTGAATACTAGAAAAGTGACTCGGTTGGCAACATTCCTTTAATTGTGACTTCTTCGTAATACTTGAGAACTAATTGGGGATTTGGTTTTCAGGTTGGTTAAAAGAGGAGATAATAATGGAGGGAATTTGCCAGAAATGACAGTAAAGGAAATCATGGTTACTCCTGCATCAAAATCAAGTAAGAGAGCTAAGAATGGTAAGTTAAAAATCTGTGAAATTAATATACCTATGCATTTTTACAGAATGCATGTGCAAGTGCATTGTAAACACAATTGTTAACTTAAATTGTGTTTCTGGTTAAATATGTTTAATTCAAGGCAAGTCATTTTATGAGTAGTAATTCTAAAAAATGCATGAGTAGTAATGTCTAAAAAGTGTTGGTGGCTTCTATGGGAAAGTTTCTTACTCCCTGTAAATTTTTTCTCATTCTTGTACTCATATCAAATTGGAATTATGCAGTCGAATTAATAATTTTGTAACTGCAGCTTATCCATGTTTGAAATAAAAATACTGTTTTGCCAACTTAGCCTTTTTTTTTTCCTGAGAATACCCATTGGATCTGTTTAAAACAGGAAAGAAAGGGGCTAGCATGGCAGTAATTTAAGACTTTCAAGATTAACGCTAAGACTTCTTTAAGAGGAGAAATAGGTTATTTTAAAAATCTTGAGACAAACATAGTGACAATTGGGTAAATGAGAAGGTAAAGCAATGCTGATTTAAGTTGGGCTTCTCCAGTTATATTCAGTAGTGGGACTAGAATGACTACTTTGCATTACCTGCCTTTAAGGAATACTGTAATTTGGATGGATCAAGCAAAATATCAACTAAAAGGATACACTTGTTTTCGAAATGAAACTGGAACTGGTAATAGTTATAAATGTGTGTCGTGTGTGTGTATTTTTAATTTTATTTTGCTCATCCTTAATAGCAGCAGCTGACTGGATGGCTTCTCCTATGGTATTTGTGTTCTGTACTCCTGACGTGAAGGACTCCTCCAAAACAAATAATACAGTATTATCAAGGTCACCAGAGACAAAGGAACTGCCTCTTCCCAGTCATGCAGCAACACCACAGTGTCCAGATTTTCAAACAGGATGGCTAAAAGCAGAAGCTAAGGTAGTAAATAGCAATTATGTACATTTTCACACACACTGCCATAAGCAGATTTTAAACTGTTAGTTTGGGGTCCTTTTCCAATGCTATTTTTTCTTATGTCACTATAAAAGTTCTTTCTAATAGTAATTATGTAAGAACATTTACTAAGTACTTTACCTAACATAAGTAAATTAACTGAAGGCATTTAATACTTCTTTTGCAGCAGCAGGTAACACCAGGGGAGAAGCTTGAGTCAGTGACAAAAAATGATGCAAAAGATATGCCACGCAAAGAAGAAAGAATTCCTTTTGCTGCAAGCTCTGATGAGTATCTTAAACATACTGGGGACCCTTCCCCTCCCAAACTGGAAGACTATGACCATTTACTCAATACTCCTCCACCTCCAGAAATAACAAGGATACCAGATAATGTTCTAAAGGTTAGCTAATACACTATTTTTCCCTAAATAATTTTAATATCAAAATGCTATAATTAAAAGGGCCTAGTTCTATCTGTAATCCATCTGTTTTGAGTTCTTAAGTAATTCTTTTTATTCCTGTTTAATCTTTCCTATAGATGCTTTCCCAATATAATCATAAGGTAGACTCTTCTAAAGCCAAGGAAATGGAGACCAAGGCAGGAAATACTACAAGATTTGAAAGTGGTTCCACTGATTACAGCAACAAAGAGAACAGGTATGATTACACTTTACAAGTTTGGTTAAGTAATTTAATTTGTAGGAGGTACAAAGAGGCTTTAATGCACTTAGAAATGCATATAGTTGCTTGCTATTCAACTATCAAAACAGCTCTTTTTTCTGTGACTAAATAACTGGGGGTTTGGCATTGTATATAGCTGCCTGTTTGTAAAGAACAAATATTACAGCTGATAATGTGTTTGGATCCTCCCAAATTAAAAAAAAAAAAAAAAGGAAGGCAGAATTTTACTGTAGGTATACTGTGCTTTGTGGCAATGAAAGCACCAGTGAATGCTTTCTGGGTAAGTTTAGGCAATGCAATGAAAGAATTTGGTAAAAAGTATCTAAGTAAGAATTGATTTCACACTTGTTTTGGTAAAGACAAAATACTTGAAATGAAAAGCTACAATAAGTATGAGTAATCTTAAAACAATTGAATTATAGTTTTATAAAGAATATAAAGAACACCATCAGTTTGAATATAAAGAAGTTTTTATGACAACTTTATCAAAGCATACATATTCCTGATTCAGTGTAATATATAGTATGCTTGTTGATTACCTGTTAAACTTAGAGTCTGTAAAGATTATTTAAATAGGTGGTACCAGGGACATGTAAGGAACAACAACCCAGAGTGACACTGATAAAAGTTGGTATCTTGCTATACTTGGAAGTTGGAATCCATTTGAGTAATCTCACTTTAGCTGAGAAAGCTTCGTTTTTTGTTGTCAAGACAAAAAAAAAGACAAATTTTCAATATTTCTGTCTTCTGATAATTCAAAATATGATTTAAATAAGCTCATGAACACATCTGGGTATATTTTCAGAGGATATCATGGAGTTTTCAAGACAAACATCTGAAATGAAACTGAAGACCATGTTGAAACTTTCACATTCATGGATCTTATCACCAAATCATAACAAGTTCAAAAAGCAAAAGGAAATACTGGTGGGAAGAAAGAGCCATACTGAGAAAAGGCTTTTTTTAATGGAGAACAGTTCTTTATCCATGATGTGGATAAACTTGTTTGAACTAACAGCTTGTTGTTGACTTAATCGGCAAAATGTATTGAGGGATTTTAAATATATTGCACTTCCAAGAGGAATGGAGATCCATGTACAAGGTGGTACTTCAGTTGTTTGTTGTGTAGGATTGCATTTGCAGTAGGCTGTAGAGAGTGCAGTTAGATTGTAATAAAAGTCCAGCATATTGCTTTCAAAAGTGGATATCTCTGGCTGTTCTGGTGGCCGTACATCCTTTCAGGGCTGAAGCTGAAGTCTGGTACTTCAACAGTATTTGGTATCTTCAACAGAAACAAGTAAATTTCTTTGTATTGGAAAAGTAACTCCTGCTTTACTGTTTAAAGCAGTTCTGGGCTTTTAGTCCTTTCTGCAGTGCTAAGATGTATCTTACACATTCCTGCATCAGACTGACTGTTACCTCTCTGCCAGACAGGCATTTCCCATGCAGATTCTTTCTTTATATATCAACATAGTATCTCTCAGCTGCTGTGCATCTGGTTTCTTTGTAGCCTTGGAAGGTGACTCCGGCTCTACTGGGAATCAGTTGAAAATGTGCAATTGTTACTGGTTATGTGCATCTTTAGCTGCTTGGAAGAATTTGCTGGCAGGCCTGTAGGTGGTTGCTTCCTCGCCTGCTGCTGCCATGTGTATTCTCTTCAGTGCTGGTGTCACTTATAAATGTGCACATCTAACCCTGTAGTAGCTGACCAAGCTGAAGTTCTCAGAGCTGTTTGGCACTCTTTTGGTAGTCGTTGTAATTAGGGTTCTTTTTCTACCAGCACTTTTATTGTTTTCCACCAGAAAACCCAGCTCCATATCATTATTTGGAGGCAATTTGCTGTTTCCAGTGTCAGCTATTCCTCTAAATGACTCCAGTACTGTTCTTACTGTATGTCTTCCATTTGATGACTGAAATTCTGTCATTTATGTGAGGGCAGACATGCAACACATGAAAAGGGAGAGGCTGTCGCAGGAGATGGGGATAAGTGGATGGTTTTCTGAACTCAGCTCCACTTTTTTTTTTTTTAAGCCTTCAGGATATGCAAACATCTAGAGAAACCCACAAGTATTTCTTCATTTGCTTAGACTTGTCCTGGTTAAAATTTAACAAGTAAAGGTGCCTTTTTCCTGCTAATACAGTCATTTTCCAGGATAAGCATGCATCACATTAATTGGAGGTGATTTTCTACTAGATCTGACCTGAGCATGCTGTCATTGAAAATGCTTATTAAAATTATGTATATATTAATGTGTCGGTCTGTAAGCTTAATTAACACTTTTGGAAACTAAACAAATCTGTCTCAAATGCTTAGTGTCTGCTATAAAAATACTTATTTATTCTACCCATCCTCCTCAGAGAGTGAAGGCCTGCTTCCAGCTTTTTCATGGTTTAAAGCCTGGTTCTGCTGGTTCTCTGGTTCTCTGCTGGTTCTGCAATTTCATGGCCTTGGAAAGGTACAAAGTATTCTTGCTGCAGAGCAAGAGGGTTTCAACCAGGCTTATTTACCAGCACTAAATGGGAGGGATTTCACAGCCTGCAGTCTCTTTCTTGCCCTGCAGCAAGCCAGGTAGCCTTTTAACATGAAATGGAACAAGCAGCACTACTACAGACCTTGTTGTATTCCTCTGTCTTCAATTAATGAAATTCACAAAAGGGTTTAGAGAAGTCTTTTCCCTAAACTTGAGAAGAACTCAGCACTCCACTGTGCTTTCCTCCATTAGGAAACTGTGGAGCTGTACCTTTTTTGTGGAGCTGAGTTTCTCACTGCAAGGCATGTGCATAATTTTGCTTGCCTATTAATATTTTCTGCTATATATTATTAACTAATAACTACCTTCAATATGACAATTGAAACCTTAAAATCTTCTGGTCTACTCAAGCTGTTGTGATATGATACAGGGATGAGACTTTTTGGAATCAAGAACTGAAGTTGCATGTGTCAGTTTTGTTTTTATTGCATTCAATATTACTCTAATACATGTAATATTGTTGTTTGTATTCTTTTTTTATAGGCAAAGCATTGCTCTGAGATTAGATTCATTAGATTCATTAGATTCAAAATCATGACAGCAAAACAAAAACTAGTTTTAGTTTGCTGTACTTCACCTTTGAAATTCTTTTAGGTTTCAGGATGTCGTAAACAGTAGGTTGAGTAATGGGAGTGGGTGGGAGGGAGGGAAATGACAGCAGTGAAAGTGTAAGCACTGGAACAGGCTGCCCAGAGAGGCAGTGGAGTCTCCTTCTCTAGAAATATTCAAAACCCACCTGGATGCAATCCTGTGCAATCTGCTGTAGCATGGGAGGTGGGACAGGTGGGTGTATGGTTGTCTGATATATTGGAAAAACCAAGGATGCAGCCATGGGGCTGGAGGAGGGTAAAACTCCTCTTAAGCCAGTGTTGTTGCTGGAGAAAGGCTCATCCAGCTGCACTATAAAGTTAATAATGTGTCAAAGTGGGAATGATGCAAAAGAACTTAAATTTTCAAGTTGGTTTGTTGTGGGGTGGATCTCTTTAACAGCATTGATCTGTCAGGAAGTGCAGTTTGGATAAACAGTAGCTACATAAGCAGCAAACAGAATGGTTCTGTAAGAGACAGTCGTCACCTGAAAACAAGCAAAATTGCCAGAGTACAGTTTTGTGTTGTGCTTTATTTAGTTTAATTGGGGGCTGCTTCCACTGGAGGCTGTTTCACCAATTCCCTTGCACAGAATTTAGGGGTTGCACTGTTTTACAGTAGATTTCTTCATTTGCCAAGACACTGAAAGGCTAATTATTTTTGTTTTCTCATCTAGTTTGTCCTTCCCAACTGTAATCTCAAACTCAGCTTTTGCCCATGTGAGTGCTTGATCAGATGTAAGGGAAGGGTGAGAGGGGAGATCACATCTCCTAGCAGTGCCTGCTCTCAGAAAAGATTGAACGCAGCACAAAATTTCTCTTCAGTATTTAAAAGCATCTGGGAAGTAACCAAAAAAGCGTAGCCCTTACTTTTCCTTTGTTTGCTGTTGTTCTTAATATTTTTCTTTTCTTTTTTTTTTTTTAAGTATATCAAATATTTCAGCTAACAGAAGCTTCTCCCCCTAATCCCATTTGTTGTCAAAGGAGCATCTCAACTGTTCTGCCCAGGAAGCCCCTTAATAAGGTGGTCCGTGCTTTCTTATCTGGGCAATACTTTGCCTGAGGTTGGACACAATTATTGTGAACACACTGAGGTCTCTCAGTGAAATTGAACTTCCCAGATGGTTGTCAAAGGGATAATTGATGAGGATTACTTCTAGTGCCTCCCATTGTGTTTTATTGGAGATTTTATTAACCACTGGAGCAATAATTGGAGTCCAGGCTTCCTTGCTTTTTAAAGCACCCTGGCTGCTTTAAATTTCCTGCAAAATATCACATTTGCTTTGTTCTCACTTGTCACTATTCAAATGTTCTAGCACTCATGGTGATTGCACGTGCTCCATCAACAGCTGTAGCTGGTGTTGGATCTGCTTTCTGTTTTGGGAGTACCTTTGTTGTTCCCTGTGGGACAATAATACAGATACTGTGGCGTTTATAAGGAGCAAAGACAATATCCAGTGGCCACACTATGGAATCACACGTGTGTTAGTCCAAAAGAGCACAATTTTCTGTCAGGAAGACATTGGCTGATGCTGCCTATATCAACTTAAATATAAACCCGTATGCTTTTCTTACACTAATACCTACTTTTGTAAAGGGGCAGTTGACATCCTAGTAGGAGCTGACCAGATCCAGGAATTTCTTTGAACTTATCTTGCCTTACTCAAGCTGAAGAGTTTTTTAAAAAAGTAGCACAAATGTGTCTGCATGGGAAATGGTCCATGGAATAAGATGCTCTGTCACACAGGCATTTATCCTGGGGAGGGGCCAAGTTTGCAGAATACCCAGCAGAAAGGCGTTCAGGTGCTTCCATCATTTTTGGCATATTGTATTCCTGGCTTAAAGCCCTGGGGTACATTCTCTAATGATTGCTTATGAAATTGTTGTAAATCAATCTAGAGCCTTCTGCATGTTCCCACCTTTCCTCCCCCAGCTGCAGGTCCCACGCCATAGGTTGTCGGTTGCATCACGGCAGTTGTGACTGCAGGGAAATCCATTCCTGCTTGCCCAACCACCAGGAGCTAATTACTGTTTTCCAGGATTAAATTGTTCAGGGACTGTGCACTGACCCAAATCACTGCCTGCCTGCAAAGGCATTGATGGTTGTTGAGGCATGAGAGGGGTAAGGACAGGTGTGGGAGCCGGGACATCCTCCTTCCCTGGCATGGTGAATCCTATCCTGTCTGTCCGGCTGCTTTGGTAAGGTTGCCTAAGGCTGTTCCTCCATAATCACTTCAGTGGCAGCTGAAGAAATTCCTCCTCTTCACCACTGCACTCCTCACAAACTCCCCTTCCCTCTCCCTGGGACAACTGCTTGGGTGGCTGTGCATGAATCGAGCTGGAGAGAACAGAGCTGCTGGGACCAGCCTGACACTTGGAAGAGGGCCCTGTGCACAGTTGCAGTGCTGTGGCTTGTTCCTGGCCATGTAGGCTGCTCTGGCTGGTGGGACCTATTTCAAACCTTTAGTACTTCTATAAGCATGTGCTTCCCTTCTCCTTTTCTAGCATAAGCCTCCTGCTCTCCAGAGCAGTTGTTAAGGCAAAGGCAGCAGGAGTGGGGCATGTTTTGCCAGCAGACCTTGACCTGGACTCTACACAGCTCCAACTGAGCAGGCGCTTGGGGGTTGGGGACTGTTGTGTGCCTGGTGCCCTTCCTCAAATGCCCTCCCTGAAACCACTGTTGTGGTTTCCCCTCCTGTCTTCTAAAGCCTGGGCCAGGTGCAGTTTCAGGCCCCTGTTAAAGACCCCCAAGTCGTTTTAAGTCTGAAAACACTACGTTGTGTTTGCCTGAAGGACAGCTTGGGGAATTGACAGCTCAGCCAGCACTTAGAGGAGCTCACCCAGAGGAGCCCTTGAAGCTGTCATTTGCACTGGATTTTCTTGCTGAGTGTTGAGGAGGTCAGTTGAGTTTTTGGGTCAGGTTGTCTCTATTTAAGCCTGTCTGTGAGACTGGAAATACCCCAGGGAGGGTCCCAAACACCTCATCCCTCTGAACCCAGCCCTTAGGCAGTTAGGACCTTGCCCCAGTATGCCAGCCAGGCACCTCCTCACCCCCGACAGGTGTTTGTGGCCAGGTGCACAGCACCACATGGGTGTTTTGCAAGGCACATTGCTCAGGGGGAATGAGTACTCTTGTTTTTAACCCATGTGAGTTGGACAAAGTCCAGACACAAGGACAACAGCAGATTTTTGGATTGTTTTGGTTTTGGCAGGTTGAACCTTAGCTGTTGCATTACTTAAGAGTGCTGTTCTTTGAATACGACCCTAGCTGTCATCATTCACTTGCTCTGACACAACAGGATTTCAGAGACCTCATTTTTCCATGCTTTCCATTGCAAAAGTGAGAACTTACTGATAATGCTTAATATGTTCCTGCTGCATTGCAGCTGTTTCTGCTTTTGACCAGAGATGTAAAGTAAAATTTAATTCTCCACAACTGCTCCAGTCAGATAGCAAACACAGAGGGAGGACTATGTATGGTGCTGCCCAGGTTATTGAAAAAGTGTGTGAGTTGTCCTCACACTTTAAACTAAGTAAGGAATTAACTCCTACCTCTAATTAACCAGGACCTCTCCTAAAAGTGTTGCAGAACTTATATCAGGCTTGTGCTGCCACTTGAATGCAGGACCAGTGGCATTCTGATGCTGTAGTCCCTGTTTGTGGACGTACATACATATGTGTGCATACACACTTGTATGTGCCTGTACTGGAGGGGTGATGAAATCAGAAGGTGGCTGTGAAAACTTAATTAAGGCCTGAGCATGTGGAAAAGAATCTTTTTTCCTCCCCATGTTAACTGAAAGCTTGGCTAATGATCACAGTGGCATCAATATTTATGTAAGGTGTAACAAGGTGATGGTGCTGGGATTCTTGGTGAGAGAAAAAAAATAGTATTTTTGATATACCTTCTTCTCTGTTTATTAGATTGAGAAAAAGCATTGGTTTAGGTGCATAAAATGAGGGGGGAAAATTAGAACTAAGAGTCAAGTTTGTTTGGGGAAGCATAGCAGAGAGTCCTTCATGACAAACCAAACCCAGACAGGCAGGAAAGACACACCAGAAGGGACACAGGAACGGGAAGTCCCATCTATGGGATCAAGGCATCCTTCAGTAGGTGCTACTGAGGGTAAAAAAGAAATTAAGGGAAGTTACCCTGGTTCTGTAGTTGGGTCTGTTTGACTGTGCTGCACCCCACAGGCAGGATGTGGAATGCTTCTGGCCCTGCCAGGGAGCCACGGAACACAGGCTGGAGACCTGCAGGAGTGATCTGGATGTTTGCCACTGGTTAGAGGCAGAGAAAAGAACGGCCCTCTGAGAAAGGACAGGGGAAGGGGAGGCCTGGAGAGACACCTGCAAGGGAGGTGGGGATAGGTGTGGTATCCCTGGCAGCACATTGGCAGGAGGTAAGAGCTGTCTGGGCTGCTGGGCAGGGAAGGGATTACCTCTGAGAAGCGTCAAAGTCAGGAAACCTTTTCTGGAGAGCTGTCATCCTAGTTCTTTGCCTTACTCAGCTGGGAGACAAAAAGCTTTGGAGGAATGGTTGCTATTGACACTGTAGATATGTAACAGAGCTGTGTCTCTTAGGCCTTTAAGGATCCAAAACAAAAGGAAAACACCTTATCCAGCTGCCTTGATGAGGGGGAAAAATTCCTCATCACACTGCTGCCTACAAAGCAAATCCCATGGACTGACAAATTCAGATGCAGCGCTGTCTACACCACTTCCTGAGCATATGGGATTGTTCACTGATGATGACCATGTTTTAATTTCCCCAAACCACAGTGCTCTACATATTTTGTTCTTTTTAGGGACTGACATCCCTCCTCAACTTTTATAGCAGCTTTCAGAGACAAACATAACCAGGTTACTGTGACTGAATCCCCTCCTGTGCACTAGGAGCTCAGCTGGTGACAGCTTTCACTTCCCTTTCACCTCTTGCCACATCTGGATGGTTGTATCCTGGTGCTGTCTGCTTCCACAGCTGCTGCCATCAGCTTGGATTGCCAGCTGATACATATTGATATATGAAACACCTAACCTGAACTACATTCTTCTCTCAAGTGTCTTTTCCCCTAAGAATAAGCTCTGCACGTCCACATTACCTTTCTGTGTGGTTTGTGAGCAAGAGATCCAAGAGATGTTTATCCTGAAACATCCTGGGGAAGAGATCAGCTGACATTTATACATTCATGGCAGTCAAGGGAAGGTAAGCTCCTCAACCAGACAAGCTGAATGAAGTATTTGCTACTGAAGGCAGTTCTGCACTTTCATTTCCTGGTGATTTTGCTTCTTCGGCCACCACATATAAAACCAGTAGATGTTCTTTTTCTCTGCCAGCTGGGCAGGCACCAGCATTCCCTGGCCATGTCTTCCATTCCAGCAGCAAAGTCAAGTTGCCGCCCAGAGCAGCTGAGTCACAGACACAGGCTCAGTTGCCACTATTGCCTTTTATAGTGACTACGTTTAAGAATTGCCCTTAAATGCAATTAAAGCAAAAACCAGGACACAAAACTGAGGAAATGCCCATATTCCTGTGTACCTCTAATGGCAGGTTTGTCTTTCCCTTTGGTGGGAGCTGTGCAATTCTGTAATTATATGCTGGTTACTCACCACACTCATTTTGCAGGACAAATTATGCCCTGGGGCAATCAGTGAGACCACTCAGCAGTGGCCTTTGCTTTTCTCTCTGTCCAGTTCTGTCAAGTGTCCCCAACCTGAGCAAGCCTGTCCCTGGTAACACAAGTCCCTGAGCTGTTCCAACACGTGAGTTTCTCACAGCATCAGTATTTGGAGCACCACTGCCTCACACCAGAGGTGACTGCGCCACAAAAAAACATCCCATCCATGCCAACTCTGGCAACAATAAATCAGCTCCACTGCCACTTGCAGGCTCAGTCCTTAATAAGTAGCACTTAATAAGTGTCTTTTCTTGAGCTCTCTTTAGAAAAAGGTGGGGAGCACTTTTCAGTTGTAGAGGAGAAGCAACTCAGATGTAGGTGATTCTGCAAATGAGAAACATTCATGAAGGCTGAAATTGCAACTCCTTAACTTAGAACCCAGAGAAGGGGGACAGAAGAGGGTTAAGCCAAGGAAGGGCAGAACTCCCTCAGATTGCACTGAACCAAGGGACTCCTGAGAAGGAAAAAACAAACCTATATAGAGCCCAGTTCATGACAAAGCACACCTTGTTCTCAGCAGAGAGGAACATTTACTTCAGTCCTAGCCTCTGCTCAGGCCTTAGGCAAGGAAGGTGGAGATTCTAATGAGTTACTGCTTCTACTCCTGCCCTTGCCGTGCTCTTAGCACACAGGGGCTCAAGGGGCAGAAACCAAGCACCTGGTCCTGCCCAGTCAGCCAAGGACAGCTGGACCCTGCTGGAAGACCAGAGGCACCTGCACATCTCAGCATCTCCGCCTGCAGTGCCAGACAGAGTCAAGCTGGCAAGCACCGAGCACCACTCTGCTGAGACATAGGTCACCCCTTCTTCATCCTGCTCTGCAAGGTACCAGGCAACACCACACACCAGTCTGCCAGATGCCCCATGGAAAACAGATCCCTGAGCTACCCCTTCCTCTGTTTTCAGATTCTAGAAGCTGACTGCTAAGCACCTTCAACACCTCCCAGCACCATTAGTAACTTCTAACACAGAGCAGCCCTGAGCATTGATACACCACTAAACAGTCAAAGGATTAATAACATCAATTTTTATTCCAAACAAGACAGAACTTCAGAACACCTGTAATCCTCCTGGTCATATTTCATGGAAGTCTTTAGAACACTGGACACACTAATTTACTATTCAAACTATAACAGTCAGGGATAGGATAATGGCACTGCTGAAGGGGTTTCTTCTAAACAAACTAAAAGTTAATGTTTAAGAGTTAACTTTCTTCTACAATGCTCAGCTTTGTCTTGAGGTGCTTAGCAACAAAAGCAAAAAAATAAGCCTGCTTTAGAACAGCAAGTAGGAGTAAACAGAATACATAATCATACAAAGAGAAGGAAGACTTTAGTAAGGTCTCATGCGGCTTGATGGGGGTGGTGCACGATTCGGAGGAGTAATTGCTATATCCAAGTAGTCTCCTATCTGGAATTTCTGAGACTGCAATGTCATGGAATCATCTGTGCCCTTCCTGCCCGACATGGTGCTGCCGATCTCCTTCACCCTGTGAGTAGCAGAGGAAAGGCAAGTTAGTTATCAGTGGCCAATCTCTCCAGATGTCCAGAACAGGAACTGCAGTGGCTCCTAACCCCCTTCCCATGCCATTCCCTACACTGCACAAATGTGGCTGTGTACTCTAAACGCTGGGGGTTTTCTCTGCAATCCTGGGTGCACCAAGAAAAGCTACACCAAGTGTTTTGACAGCACACAGGAGCCTTCTACCCTATTATGTTCAATACTAGTGGGAACCCCTTACCCCCTGCCACACAGAGAAAGCACAAGACCCCACCAGATTCCAAAGCAGGGTACATCCACTGGATGCTGACAAAGATTAGCTCATGCCATTCTGGAAGAGAAACACCTGCTACAAGATCACTGCTGTAACTCAGGTGCAAGACATACCAGCAACAAAGCATTATCTCAAATTGGAGGGCCATGTTCCAGTTGCCAATACAAACCAAAGCCTTCCAGCACACAGGCTTATAGTTTTGGGAACACATTAACAGGGGCAGTCACCAAGCACAATTCAGAGGTTATAGCAGTCATCATACAGAACTTCAGAAGTTTGGTATGCAGGTTCTGAACTTTAAATCAGTGTTAATGAAGGATAATTTACTGTTCTGGTGCCCAAAGTATTCTATTAACTCAGAGAAGAAATTCCGTTTACCTATAGCCAGGCCTCTTGAGATCTGTAAAAACAATTGCAAAGTTGAAATGTGTGCCCTTCTTCCGTGCTTCTGGGTAAACTTCTTTCACCAAGCTGGTCAGCTCTTTGAGAGTTGCATCCATCCTAGATTAAACAAACCAAAAGCACTTCACACTCTCAAAGGATTAGTAAAAAAAGCTTCCCAAAACATTTAGGATGGAATCAATATATTGCTACAACCTAACCATATGTTTCTTTGCCTTGGCATACCCTATGTCCACAGTTATTGATTGTAACACCTGGGAGAATTCATCACTTACTGCACACTGGAGCAACATGCTCTAGTGCAAATGTGTCTGCTCCACTGTGATATTCAGATGAATCTCTTCATCTCTGTGTACATCTCAACATCTGCATTTCCAGCTCTCTCTGAAGAGTTACCATTTAAACAGCAGGAGCCTTTTCTTTTTTTAATACATTCATACAAGCCACAGTGTAAGAGTTTCCTCACCTAAGCTGACATGTGTATTAAAATAAGGTTATTAACTATTAGAGGAAATGTAAGAAAAGCAGAAAAACAAAATAGTTTTCTGTTTCTGCCCTAGGAGGCAGAACTCCTTTACCCAGCCTTCAACCAGAGCAGGGCAAAAGCTCATGTCTAGAATTTCAAGAACAAAAGTCCTCAGTCATCGCAAGAGAAGTGTCTCCAATTATACACACTGTGCACTCGCTTCGAGCTTCAGGCAACCAAGGAGCAGTGTGTTGAAAGACAATGCCCATTCTGACTTCTGCAGATGGGAAACAACTCAGACACCAGCCTGGACAGAGTCCATAAATCCCACTTAGAAGTAAATTAGAACTGCATGCTTTGGTAGCCACAAAAATGGATTTATTCAACTACAAACTTATGAGTTACAACTCTGGCAAACATCATGAAGGGTTTAAAAAGCAGTATAATTCCTTTTCAAAGGCATTCTTCAAAACATTACAAACAAAACCTAACATGTTTGCAATGGAGATTAAGGCAGTTCTCCAAAATAAATCTGTCAGTGACAAAAGCAGCTCTCTGTTAAAGCACTGCTACCTGACCATGCAAAAAAGAAAACTCATTACTCCACTCTCAGAAGGGTCTTAGTTAAACCAACAAACCATTCACACATTTCAAGCCTTCTGGAACAGCTGCTTCTACTGGATAAACGGGGTCTTGGAACAACACATACGCATTAAAGGAGAACCTCTGCATCGAGTAGATGTGCTGCGATAACCATCGCCACGGCAGAAGCCGCCAATTACACGCAGCGGTAACTGGGCACTTGAGCCGCACTAAGTCTGGGCGGCTGAGCGCCCACCGCTGCAAAGCTGTGCTTCCGGAGATGCCCCTCTCAGCTGCCAGGGCACAGCCAGAGCCGCTCCGCACCAGCGGCGGCGAAAACTCCCCGGCGTGTCCTGCTCCGACCGGAGCCCGCAGAGCTCCCTCTGGCCCCGGGGCCCAGGCGAGGCCCCGCGGCCCGGCCCGGCGCAGCGGCGGCGTCACTCACCAGGTGTAGATCTGCAGCTCGCTGGAGGGCACGTTGCCGCGGGAGAACTCGTCCATGCGGTGGTGCCGCCCATTGTTGGTGGTGAAGACGCGAAGCAGCAGCGGGCACGTCTGCGGAGCGAGGCGGGGGCGAGAATGAGCATGGGGATGGGGATGGGAGCGAGGAGCCGCGGGGGTGGGGATTAGGATGAGGGGCCGTTCGCCACGCCCTCCCCCCCTCCGCGGAGGCCTCACGTCGTCTCTAGACGCTCACCACTCCCCCCACCCCCGGTGTCCGCCCCGGAGCAGCCGGCGAAGCGGCGCGGCACCGGCACCCCGCACTCTGGACACCTTCTCACGGTCGATCGGCTTCTCCGGCTCCTTCTTGATCTCCTCCTGCGTCACCCGCGACTCCACCGCCATCTTGCCGCGCCGCTCCCGGATGTCGCGCCGCGCCCCGCCCATCTCGCGAGAGCAGGGGCGGGGGCGGCCCCGGCGGGGCTCCTCCCCCAGGCGTGAGGCACCGCCCTGCCCTCAGGGAGCCGCCGCTCTCCGGTAGGGACGGGTTGCGCAGCCCGCCGCTGTAAGTAGCGGCAGGGTGAAATAAATAGCGGGAAATCTACTTAGAATCTAGTTTCCCTTAATATTACATTCAGGGAAAGGTTAAATGCATACGCTTCGCGTTTACGGTTTTGGGGTTTTTTTTTTTCCCACAAGAGGAATCTTTTATTAGGTTAAAATTGTCTCACTAGATGCTTCTTAATACAAGTTAAGTTCCCCAATTTAAGAGATTTTTTACGGTTTTGGGGGTTTTTTTTCCCACAAGAGGAATCTTTTATTAGGTTAAAATTGAGTCTGTAGTTGTCTTACAAATTAAGAGGAAATATATAATAACTATAAAATAATACAAAATGCATGGGTTTGTGGTAGTTTTTTTTTTTTTTTTAAATGTCGAGAGTTGCTCGTTTCTCAAAGCGGTGAGGGCAGAGGGACTCAGTTGTTTTCACAGAGTTTATGCTTGGATTATTTCCTCTGAATTTATTTCTCATTTTGAGAGTAAAACAGAGTTAAGTTTCCCTGTAAAATCAAGCAGAAGGGTGCTTGCAGGTGCAAAACATCAGGGACTCAAAGATTTGCTGAGGCTGGAAGGGAGCTCTGGGGGAGGCTGCCCCCCCAAACCCCGGCTCAAGGCAGGATCAGCAAGGGCTGCCTGGGTTCTGGGAATGTCCGAGGATGGAGAGCTCTGGGCAACCTGCTCCAGTGCTCAGTCGCCTTTGCAGTTAAAAAAAAAAAAATCTCTTCTGTCGGTTTGTGCCCTTTGCCTCTGGTTCTGTGGCGGGCATGGCTGAGAAGCCTGGCTGTCAGTCTTTGCTCCTGCCCGCCGGCTATTCCCGCACAGTGAGCCGCGTCTGTGAACAGTCCCAGCTCCCTCCGCCTGTCCTCACAGCACGCATCCTCCCCTCCCTTCAGCACCCCGATGAGCCGTATTTGATGCTACAGCTCCTCGCACAGCTCTCTGTCGGTGCTCGCAGCCCAGAACAGCCCGTTCTCAGGGTCCCCGTTTGCAGTGTACGTCCCTGAGTCAGGAGGCTCGGGGTGTGTTTGGGCTGCTGTCCGAGTGCAAGTCTGGCACCAGAAGGAAGTATTCTAAGTTCTGCACCATGCAAAAAGCAGGTGCTTCTTAAGGTTTTGTAAGTCTTGAAGTATCTGTGCTCTAAGGGTGATGTGGTTTGATTTCACTCTTCCAAACACGTTTCAACAGCATTATTTATTGAAAAATATTTAGGGGAGAAAAATATTATAAAATATAAAGGGAGATAATTTTTATTAAAATATATTCATATATTATGTTTATGTGTATATCATAAAGAAGAAAAAGGGTTATGAGTCCATACTACAAAAAAAATATGCTCTTGCATTTCACTCTAATATAATCAACAGTACTTGGTTTAAAATGTTGATTTATGGCTCACCAAATACAAGATAAGAGAGCCAGCAACCTTCTGCAGTTCAGCCTCGATTTTTATTAACTTCCTCTTGTTGTTGTCTGGATAGTGTTGTACAGTTTTTAATCTACATTAAGTTACAGCAAATCATCATTTTGTTACCATAGGCAATGAGTCAGCCTTGCCACCATTTGTGGAATTTGATTTCCCAGGCAACAATTCAGTCTATTACTTTGCTAAAATTAATTATCTCTGCCATGATAATACACACTTTGAGCTCAGTGTGTGAACTACCATTTCTGAAATGAAGGAATTTATGTCAAGTATTGTAAGGGAACAGCTGTAACAAATAAAGCACAACTCTGGTACGAATCTGAGTAGTTCCTTCTGCTAGAACTTATGGAGTACGTTTTTTGTGTGAAAAATAACACTAGTGGGCCTGAGTTTTAAGTAAATTAAAGCATTAATTTATTATGCATGAACACAATTTATTTTCAGTCTAAAATCTTAGATTCTTATGTCACGTGTTTGGAAGCAAAGGTTGAAAATGATTTGGAAATGAAAATGCAGTGCTGTGGCTGCAGGGTGTGGGTTTTACTCGGGATGGGGCCGTGTGGTTAAACACGGCATGACTCCATAAACTGTTTCCCACAGGTTTCGGCTGAGGTCTCACGTGTACTGGAGTTGGTCCAACTGCTTGCTTTTGCCGGAGGAGGGGGATTTCGCTCCCGCTGCTTGTCCTTTGTCACATGACGGGTTTTCCCCTCCCTTCTGCCAGGCATGACTCTCACTAGATGCTTCCTAATACAAGTTAAGTTCCCCAATTTAAGAGATAACTATCTAGTGTGGGCTGATTCTCTGACAGTTAATTTCACTCGATACTTTCTAAACTGATTCCACAATCGCTAGACCTGGTGCAGGGCGAGTGGTGGGAAGTGCATGTCCAGGAGCAGCTGGGGGCGGAGGGAGAGAATAGGACTGGAGTAGAGTGTGTAGAGTGTGTCCCTTCAGAGGCATATGGATGGTTGATTGCTTCACCCTCTCTTCACATTTCCTTAGGTTTTGGGGTCCAAGAGGTCTCCTCTGCTTGTTCAGGGTCATTGTGTGCTATGCAAAAAATATCTGTACATGCAAACACACACACACATATATATATATATGTAGGGTACACTGTAAGGAAAATGAAAGATCATCACTGAGGTAGGGTAAGACTGCACATAGGAGCAAGTCTCCAGCCTTTGTTGTGAAAAGCCCCAAATATGACTAGAACTTCTCCAGCTGTGAATGCCTGTAGAGCAGGAGACGAGTGGTTTGGAAGCGTGAATTGCCCTTTATGTATTGTTAACACATATTCTTAAGGCAGTGGTTATTTAAATAGCAAACTGTGAGTTGTTTGTTGGGGCATTTGAGACAGGCATGAATGAGACGGGGACTTGGTGCCATTAGGATATGGGACAGGGCAAAGCTGCCACAGCCCTTTAGAGAGGAGCACTGTGGCTCAAGGAGCCCATTGGCCTACAAAACACTTACTCTAACTTGTGACTGAAAGGGAAAAACAAAAGGAGCGGCTGGTATGGAGTAACTTAAAACTTTCTAGGCAGAACGGAAGGATTGTAGCAAATAGCACGTCCTTGGGAAGGTACAGGAAGTAATGGTGTAGCTGAGCCTGGGATATCAGTCATGGAGGCAAACCTTCCAGAAACTAGAAAAATTATAGCATGACCAGGATAAAGAACTCCATACATTTCAGACCCATGGGTGTATAAAATCTGAGCTCAAGGAAACTGAGTTAGCCTCAGCAGTATACTGCTTCCAGCTTCCCAAGGCTCCCAGGACTTCTGGCTTATTGGCTGTGTTTCTGAGTTCTTTCTAACCAGGACTACATGCAGCCCCTTAATTTTTCTTGGTTTGTATGTGTATCCCATAAAGCCTGTTTGATACAGGACTTGGGCTTTATCTTGATTGTGGAAAGTTCAACTACCCTATTCTAGCAACAGCACAATCAACTTTCAAACAACTTTACAATCAATTGAGAGAGCAAAGTCTCAAATTTGATGTAGCTTCTACTGCAAACCAGCCTTAACTGGTGGAGGAAGAACACAAGCACAACTTCTTTGCAAGCGCAATCACTGGTATTTCCTACATTTTGTGTCATGAGTGTGGTTTTATGTTCAGAATGCTCTGTGTGCAGTAGATTTCACTACAGTATTTTAATTTCTGGTGTTTTGTACCAAAGTTAGTGTGAATTTCAAGAAGCCTGTAGTGCTGCTAGACAATTGCAGTGTTTTTATATAAGCTTCAGTTTCTGTTCCTTGTTTTGAATTTAGATGGTTTGGACTCACAAAATGCGCTGTAACTCTTGGGCTTCCATGGTCCTCTTCAACCTGCCTGCGAGGCAGCAGGTGAATGAGTCGGTGCAGGACAGACTGGTGGGGCTGGGATGTAGGAAAGGAGTCTGGCACTGGATGTGTAAAGCCTACAGGGACCCCCGAGGCAGCATCCTGATTCAGGAGCACCAAGACTTAGCTACCGGGGAGGAATCTGTATTTGTATATAAATTACAGATATGTTTTTCTGTATGGTTTTTTTTTTCTGCAAAGTCATCAGAAGGACCAGAAGTTAATAAAAATGCTTTGAAGGTGATTTACTCTTCTACAATATTACTCTTCTACAAAATGGTTTAACTGCTAATGTGACAGCAGCAGCAGTCAGGCTGTGCAGGTTTGTGCTCGCTCCAGGCACACAGGCGGCATACTCGAGGCAGAGCCACTGCCGTGCCTTGCAAACAAGCTGCCTCATACCTGCCAGTGTAAGACCTTGATTAAAGCTGAAAGTGGTGTGTGATGTTGCCAAATGTTATAATTCTGCCATTCTGCTATTCCACATCAGGTATTTCCTAAAAGAGTATTCTCAGGATCTTTTTTTGTTTTCAGTTTCAGAAAAAATATTCAAGGAATAATGTATTAGTCAGATAAGAATTATCACTCACATTTCTGTTCCTTCTGTTCATTTTAGATACCAACAGCAGTTTGTCAGAAATCTGCAGGGTCCACATAAAATTTTCCCATAAAGCAAATACACTGGATTGAACAGTAGTATTAAAAAAAAAAACCAAAAAAACTCTGCGATTTATCTGCAGTCAGCTGACACTAATATTGGACACCTGGGCATGTGAGGGATTTAGAAGGATGTCCACACTGCTCCTGAGCTCTGCCACAGGCCTGAACACAGGAGCTGGGAACAGTGGGGATCTATCTTGTTTTCCCTAGGGTGCTGCTCCCCATAGTGGGCAGTGATAAAGGATGCAGGATGTGAACCTGCCTGCATCCCTGAGCAGTGTAAGGAGGGAGCTGGAGAGCCACAGCACTTCAGGCTGATCCAGTGCAAAACTGCTCACAATCTAAATCAGCTATAGAGTACAGCTTATGCTAGAGAGATCCAGCAAATAATTGTAAAGAATGCTTGTAGCTGTCAGCAGAGGAAAACAGACTTCAGTTTCAAGAAAGAAAAAGTAACTCCTGGTGTGTCACATAGAG